CCTCTGGATCAAAAAATGCACCAGACAATAAGTTTTTGGTGAAATGGCCTTTCTTCTCGGAATACCCCGGTGAGAAATGCCCCTCGTCGCTGAAGAAGATTTTGGTCGGAAAATTGTTGTGCAAACAAACAAACTGAATAAGTCAGCTGCCATCACTGTTGTGTGAGCTGGACTTTATATATATGTAGGTGGCCGAGTTCAAGTAAGAAAGTTCCAGCTCTTGAAAATAGATTCAAATTAGAAAAGAAAACGGATTATTACTTTTGGCCACTAAAAGTGCGCACCTAGCCCACAGTGCATAGTTACAGCACTAGGCCAGTGGGCAAATGAATGCAACGCTCACGCATTGCAGATAAAAAATCGCATTTTATGTAGGCGTTACGTGAGCGCACGAGACTATTCGCTTGTCTACCAACACAAGCGAACATATAATATAATCTGCTACAGCTTTTGGCAACATACGTATGTGTATGTGTACGTGTACTCGTAGCTACGCCGCTACCTGACCAATTTTCACATTTACTGCAACCGACTGCAGTTAAGTACTTCATGACTACATTGGTGAGGAGTGTAACAAATGCATACAAACATACAAAAATACAACTTTGTACATATGTATGTATGGTATATGTGCGTGAGTTGTCGTATAAACGCGCATAAAGTCAAAAGTTTATTTCAACAGTGGGAAGGGAAGCGCGAGCCAGTTGTGGCGTCGCGGCGACAGCAATTTCTGGTTGCCGGGCAGTTTTGTCGACTTTTTCCCATATTTGTTGGAAGTGTTGTTGTTGTTGTTGTTTTTGCTATTATTGTTGCTGCAGTTGTTCGCTGCCGGTTATTGGCTCAGTCATTGTTGCCTGTCATTTGTACAGTTCGGCAATAAAATGACATTCGAAAGCACGCACAAGTCTAGCCTTGGATCGAGAGCATTTCCGCCACACATACACACACACACACACACACACACACCCGCATACCCGTACACCTGCACACCTACACACACTAAAAACGTGTACTCGCACGGTGTAACTGATTTTACAGCTTTTCCTCTGTACCCATATGTATGTACATACACACACGTATGTATATGGACATACATAGTTATTTCTGTTTGCTCATTCACTTGAAAAAAGAAGTTGAATTTGTTCTTTCATTTTAATGAAGCCGTTTTTATTGTGCGCTCAGGTTGTTTTAATTATTGTTGGCATTGATGATTTTTAAATCTGCCAAATGGAAACACATGCCACACACAAATGTATATATATATGTTATTAATATATATGTTCATACTCGTACATACATATACGTTTGGTTCTCAAGCTGTAGGGGTAATGAAGTGCTTAAACTTTCACGACTGCCATAAAAATGCTATATAATTGTATTGATGCGTAGATTGGTGTGTGTGTGTGTGAGTTTGTGTGTATGTCCTTAATATTGACGCTGTAACAGCTCCTTAACAAACTGCTTCACACAACTTTGTTGTAGAAATTTATACGCCATAATTAAATGCACTTTAAAGCTGAAATTATGTGCTGCCTTCACCCTCCTCATAGGGCTCAAGCACCAATACCCATATACAATTGTAGTAAATTATCGATAAATTATAAAAAAATTGATAGAATTTGAGTTACTTTGGCAAGCGAAATCGTAAATTCACTTAAGTAAATGGATATTGTGAAGGCAATTATTGAGTTCGCATAAAATAACTGATTTTGAGCGCTGAAAGTATAAATGTTATAGAGTTCCTATTCTCAGGCTGCAATTAAGACACGCTAATGTTAGGTCAAGTAAAAAATTAGTTGGGTGTTTTTTTTTATTGATTTTTCAAAATATGCTAACTTTGTCAAATATGCGTCGTTTTGTTCGCCTACTTCATTATACCCCTCTCGTAGAATGCTGCGTCCCTATTGGCAAAAAACTCGGGGAGGCAATTTTCACAGGCCTCGCTTGAGGGCAACTTCTCACCATTAAGCGCTTTCGCCATGGACAGGAAAAGATGGTAATCACTTGGTGACAGATCCGGACTATAAGGTGGGTTCATTAGGATCTCCCATCCGTGCTCCTGGAACTTCTGGCGCATCACCAAAGACGTGTGTGGCCTGGCGTTGTCCTGATGGAACACAATTCGGCCTCTGCTGATCCAAGATGGCCTCATCTGGATGAGTGCAGCCTTCAGGGCCGAATTGAGCGTTTGGTCACCAAACCCACAGCAAAACCTGGTGCATCTTTGACATCGAAATTACCGGAACGGAACCTAGCAAACCACTTTTGTGCTACACGTTCGTTTACAGTATCGGGCCCATAAACTAAATTTATTTTTTCAGGCGCTTTGGCTGCTTGTTCGCCTTGATCCAAGAAAAATTGTAAACTATAGCGAACTTTCACTTTGTTGGTGTCCATATTTGACGAGCGCTCACAACGTACTGAGTCAATCAATTGAAAAACTGTGAGAGACAAACTTTTAGCGAGAATAGCGCCGTATAATATGACATGATATAACACGTAACACTAGTACTATGGACAATAACGCCATCTCTTTTTACTTGACTTAATATATATACGTTGCGTGCTCTAAACATTTTATTAGAAAATAAGTTTCTGTTGAAAGAGATTAAGCTTTAGTAGAACGACACTGACTCATACAGTTGAAGAGTGTTGGTCTAATTACAAGCAGGTCGCTAAGAAATCAGAGAAGTATTTTCAGTAATGCACACAACCCTTGCTTGGAATACAGACTTGTAGTTATTGAGTTTGAAGCTACCTTAGTTAATGTCGTAGTCACAGAGCAACGCTGCTCCGCAGCCTTTTTTACATTTAGATCCGTCGTATAGATATGGATATCTTCATTGTTACCGCTGTGTTCGTCTTCCGTTCTTTCATTATTAGGAAAAAAGTAGGTAGCATCTACCCGGCAGACAGTTTCTGTTTCTCGAGCGCATTTTACATTTAGCCCGAGTTTCGATATAATTTTCTGAACGCAATTTGGGGACTGGACCCATCTAGCGCTGCTTCGCAAATCATTAGTATGATAATTGGCCTAATGTCAAGGATAACGTTGCACCTTCTTCTTTTAGATGTTAGATTTAACATGGCCCCGCTTTAAACTAGTTTAAAGCACGATCTATGCGGCCAATTGACCTGTCTTGAACGTGACATAAAGTGTTCACCGAACTCGCCTATCAATATGTCCATTGTTACGCGGGCTGTTGGGTACCGCGCATTGGTAACTCTTGTAATGCTTCTGGCAGATCTTCACTCCAAAATCGACAATTCTGCTTATTTACGCACCCATTAAGCCAAAAATGAGCTTCGAAGCGGGCCCGGAATAAGTGCGCAATGAATTTTCTTAACAGAGCACTCATTTCAGTGTTGCCAAAAAGATAATAGCTAAGAAATCACCCTTTATAGATAGAATTGACGCTTCCAATTTGTGGTTATGAGTGTTGTTTATGTTTTTTTTTCAAGAAATGGAGGTAACTACAGTTTATACTGAGCCGTCTCCGACCGGCTGATAATTTTTTACGAGGAGCCTTTATTCCAAGTCCGAAATACACTCGGAGAGGTAGACATTCCCCGCCGAATCGCTACCGCAATTAGAAAATTTAAATTCATTTTTTTTTTTGAAGAGCGTTTCGCTCAGGTACGACAAAAAATAATGTTTTGTTAAAGACTTTTATGTTACGACTTCTCTGCGCATATTTCATGGCATGTACTTCCGTAATTATTATTAAAGTTTAAGATTGGAACCATTGTATGAGGTCCATATTAATCGCACAAGCTACGGCTCACAACTGCATTCCATACATACATCAATTCTGCAGATAAGGACTTTGTTGTTACGGCAGAACTGAGACTTCTTGTGTGAAAGCCGGTGCAATTTCTCAGATTTGAGTTTAAGCTGCAGATTTTTTGTGGAAATTTTTCGTTTCCACGTAATACTGCTGTCCAAGTGATTTCCCAGTTTTGTAATTTAATTGCGGGATCAATACAACTTGACTGTTAACATATAATTTCTACAAGAAAAGAGACTCTGTCACTCTGCCATCCCTCACTTCGGTGGAGTTAATTGTAGTCACAGCCCGCGTCGGAAGCGAGTTCTTCAAGATACAGCTGTTCTCACCCGCGGCTAGGCAGAAGTATGATTCGTATTTGCTACTGGCTCCTTGAAAAATGACACCTGAGTGAACAGTACTCGTAGAACAACGGTTGAAAAATATGAGCTGTGAGACGAGACTACCTCGAATAGCCTGAGGTTAACATATTTCGTCGTGTCTCAATGTATGTTGATTTTAAATTCCAGTTTTCAGAATTCGTTATGATTAACTACGGCCACTACATTGAAAAACTCATAAACAGTGTTTTAGATGTAGATAATTTCCGAAGTCGAGCCGTTGACTCCAGCCTTTGCCAATTGCGCAATCGCCTATGTGCAGTGAAATACTTCCATCCAGGTTTTAGTGAGATTCCCCGTCCAAAATCAATTTGCAATCACTGTCCCTGTTGAGTGTCAAACGTTCTTTTTTCGATTTGGACTCTATTATAAGAACTTTTAAGCTGTCGATCGCCTGTAATCTGAGAGCAGAGAACAAATCACAAGAGGGAAGGAAACTCATGTAAAGAAAGAAAAAGTGAGAGATCGTGTGCATAAAGAGCTTGCGAGTCTATTCCACGGGGGAGCTTTTCGAAAATTCTATGGGAAAATGTGGTTACTCATAGAAGTTTTCAAATCTCAGCATATTCTTGAAAAAATATGTGAGGAGAACAATTCACAATGTGCATGTATTAGAACCCTTCCTAGAATATTTTAGGGTAAAGGGATTGATCGTGATGATGAATCCCAATTGAAGGTGACCCCAATTTCTTTAAATTAAGGTAGCATAAGTCTGCTTGTAGAATTGACAGGACTTAGCAGGTCGGACTTAGTTGTGATACTAAGTCGCATCTGTATAAGTCTACTTTGTTATAAATGTACTTTGAATTTGTATTCCGTCAATTATCATTAGAGCAATTATTCGTAGAAATATTGAAGGAAATTTGAAAACTGAAAAATATATAAAAACATTTACAAATGTATGCATATAAATAACAAACCCAAGGTACGTGAAAAATATTGTAAATAAATCTATTTAATGTAATAATAAAGAAAATATCACATTTCAAAACAGATAGCAAATACCTACATACATATATTTTCGAACGAGACATTTTATCGTAGCGCAAGATGTTGAACTTACTGAAATCCAAGATACTGATGTTAACCTCGCCAAAGGTCATCTACAGTCTCAGCGCTTTTCGGCATAAACATGAGATTCCAAAACATCTTGAGAAAGTACCTAAAGAAAAGGATCCCTCATTCTCGCAAATGATTGAGTACTATTACCATGCAGCTGCGCAAGTTATGGAACCAATGATGATAAAGGAATTGGAAAAATATCCTTATATGAAGAAGGAACAACGAGAACAGCGCGTTTCTGCAATGCTGAAATTGATGGGTTCGACAACAAATCTCTTGGAAGTTACCTTCCCCATAATTAGAGGCGATGGCCGCTACGAGCTTATCACCGGTTATAGGGCACATCACACCAGGCATCGTTTGCCGCTTAAGGGTGGTAAGTGGAACATTTTTGATATTCAATTTTTTTTTTAATTTTTTTATGTTAATTTATTTTATTTTTTTAAATTTACTTTTATATTTATTTAATTTAATATAATTTTTTTTTATTTGTATTTTCACTTATTTTGCTTAATTATATTATATTTTCTCTTATCTTATTTAACTTCATTCTACTTTATTTTTTATATTCATATCATTTTATTTTATTTTTGTATTTTTACTTTATTTTATTTGTTAACTAAATTTTATTTCATTTGATAAGATTAAATTTTATTTTTCTTTATTTCTTATATATATTTTACTATTTTTATTTTTAAAGTAATTTCATTTTTTCCTTTTTTATAAGTTTTATTTTATATTTTTATTTTATTTTGACACTTTTTATTTTATTTTGTTCATTTTTTTTATTGTATTTTGTTTGGTTTTAAATTAATTTATTTTATTCTTTGTAAATACTTTTGTTTTATTTTATTTTATTTTACTTTACTTTATTTTATTTATTTAATTTATTGTATTATATTTATTTATTTTTTTTAATATTACTATTATTATTTTTATTCTTCCTATATTTTGATTTACTTTATTATATTTAATTTTTTTATTTTATTTGTTATTTATTATTTTATTTTGTTTTATCTTATCTCATTTTATTTTATTTTATTTTACTTTATTTAATTTTTTTTTAATTTAATATTAATTTATTATATTCTTCGCATTTTTGTTTTATTTTATTTTACTTTATTATATATCATATTACTATATTTTGTTTTAGCTTATCTCGTTTCATTTCATTTCATTTTATTTATTTTATTTTTTTACATTTCATTTTATTTTATTTTTTTATTTAATATCATTTTATTTAAATCAATTCAATTTTACTTTATCTTTTTTATGTTATTTTATTTTACTTTTTTATTCTATTTTTGCACATTTTTATATATATTTTATTTCATTTAATTTTATTTTAGTTTTGTTTTTGATTTAATTTTTATGTTTTTTTAATTTTTTCTATTTCAATTCTCTTTTTAGGCATACGTTACGCCATGGACGTGGACGCTGATGAGATTCGTGCTTTAGCATATCTCATGGCATTCAAGACTGCTTGTGTGAATGTACCCTTCGGCGGCTCGAAGGGTGGCATTCGGATTGACCCAAAGAAGTATACGGCACAGGAATTGCAAACGATTACCCGACGCTATACGATGGAGCTATTAAGGCGTAACATGATCGGACCGGGTATAGATGTGCCTGCACCGGATGTGAATACGGGTGAACGAGAGATGAGTTGGTTGGTTGATCAGTATGTTAAAACATTTGGTGAGTTTAGAAAAGTAATCATTTACGAAAGTCTCGTAATTAAAACTAAATGTTTTTATTTTTTTTTTTAACTTTTTTTTTTATCACTTTTTAGGTTACAACGATGTCAATGCCTTGGCCATCACAACCGGTAAGCCGGTGGCTATAGGCGGCATAAATGGTCGTACTGCCGCAACTGGTCGCGGTCTCTTTAAAGCAGCTGAATGCTTTCTCAATGATAAGGATTGGATGGATTTATTGGGTTGGAAGACTGGTTGGAAAGACAAGACTGTCATTGTACAGGGCTTTGGTAATGTTGGCTCCCACGCATCCCTCTTTGTGGTTGAAGCTGGTGCCAAATTGATTGGTGTACAAGAAATTGATGTCTCACTTGTGAATGAGAATGGCATAGATCCTAAGGTTGGTTGGAATGTTGTAATGCAGAATATTTGCCAATACTAATATTGCCATGTTTAGGATTTAATGGATTATTATACCAAGAATAAGAAATCCGTGAAGGGCTATACGAAAGCAAAGGAAAAAAGTGGCAGTCTATTGGGTGAAAAGTGCGACATTTTAATGCCCTGCGCCACACAGAAGGTGCTTACGGCGGAAAATGCTGGCAGCGTACAAGCAAAAATGATTTTAGAAGGCGCCAATGGTCCCTCAACACCAGCTGCCGATGAAATATTGCGCAAAAAGAATGTACTCATTGTACCGGATATGTATTGCAACGCTGGAGGTGTAACGGTATCTTATTTTGAGTACTTGAAAAATATCAATCATGTGTCTTATGGCAAAATGCATGTTAAACGTGAACAAGCAATGATCAATGAGATCTTTAACTCGCTCAATAGCGCGGATAAAGGAAAAGTAGGTGGTTCACTGATATTAATTTTTGTACAAAAATAATTTAAATTTACTCTATTTCAAATAGGATAAGTTTAAGCCGAATGTAGATCTGGAGCGCATAAGAGATTGCACCAGAGAGGCGGACATTGTGGATGCGGGACTGCAAACGGTTATGGAGACTGCAGCGGAGGGCATCAAACAGGTAGCGAACGAATTTGCTCTTTGCAATGATCTACGCACAGCAGCTTTCATTTATTCAATTTTGAAAATTTTCCGCGCCCTAGAAGTTACTGGCATTTCTCAGCAGTAATTAAAAAAGCTTGTTTTCAATCTACACTAATTTTTCTTGCTCATTTCGGTGCTTGTATTAAAAGCTCGCTCAGTTCGCAAGCGTAGCTGTTAATATATTTTTTTATAGATTATTATGTAACAAAAGTTCAACATCTTGTCCACACGCTAAATACTTTTTTCTTAATAAAATAATATAGAAATGAAATTTTCTTATTTGTAATTTTAATATTTGGTCTTTTACATATATCGTACTTTTCATGTTAGAATTTTGAATTAAAGAAATTCAATACAAAAACGCTCCCCAATATTACAACAATTTCGCTTCGAATTCGAGACTAGTCAGTTTTCTCTGATGGAACTATGAATACTTCGTGACGATAGACAGAATAATTCGAATTCGTCTATTATTACTACTTTTTCGTATCCTAGAATTTGTTCATGGAAGCAGTGTCATTTGCACATGCATGCGGCTGCAATAGCCAAGTGGTTAACAGTGGCTCACCGTTCGGAAGTCCACGTTCGTTCAACATGGAATTTGCGGTCGCCCCGCTGAAGGGTATGTCATGTTCTTCGAGTATAATTATGATATTAAATAAAGGGCCCTCGTAAAAATCTGAGGACGGTTCAGAGGCGGCTTAGAATAATTTATAGGTACCTTCATTTGCTGGAAGAAAATTAATAAGCACACCACATATTTGAGTTGGAGTTCGGCCGAAAAACGCATCAGCGGTTACAAAGCGCCAATTAAATATATAAATTAAATTTTGAAGGTACTTGGAGCCCACTGAAATACTTATATTCATCGAAATTTAATTATAATTCTTCATATGCAAATATATTAAACTTTTGGTTATGAAACTGGGTAAAATTGTTTCTATAAATACTCGAGTTATAATAAATTCTGTTACTCAGATATAAGAGTACTTTTGAACCGTGATTTAATTATTAAATACTATGTTAAAACTGAAACCACCTGGTAAGAGTGATTCTACGTTCGACTTAAAGCTTGAATTTGTTGCTAAGTTATGACTATTGATAGTGACGTAAGAGCTAAGTTCGTTCAATATCAGTTTCCCTCGCCTATCGTCTTTGTCTTTTATAGATAAAGCAGAAATTGGAGGAATATGGGCTGCATCTTTTCGGACGGTAGCCTTAAAATCATTAAAGCAATACTGGTAAGGACCAATCCGTTGGCTGTTGATGGGCTTTAATACTTTCAATAATATACTAAATAATAACTTATCTGCTATATTCTAAGTTGGTTTATACCACGATAATTGGGACTGACTGTGTAGGGCAAAATTAGGTACCAATCATCGGCAATGCTTTTGTGGTACCATATTCGGCAAAGAAGCGGATATTTGTGTCCCGATCTTGGAACCTTCTGCCGCATCGTTTCCGCATTTCTTCAAACCACATCCGGGCATTATATCTGTCGATCTACTTCTCAAGCTTTCCAACGGAAGGAAAGAGCTCTCAGTTTTAAGCTGTCTCCTGTCGGTAGAAGGAAGGGATAAAACGTCTGTCAAACTTAATTGCTAAACCAAACATGTTTTGTTCTATTAAAAGGTCACACATTTATGAAAATAAATCCCTAACAACCGCACAACGGCTTTGAAGTTGTTAAAACCAACGACAAAAAAAGTATTGATTCAAACGGGACACATTTTGCGCTTTAAGAGAAGATTACGGTGCACATAATCGGTCCACTACTCAAGCAAGTGGTAAAACTTTTAAAAAAATTTGATGGGACTAGATCGTTTACAGACATTAATAACTAATACAAATATAAACAAAATTGTCATATTTGGGTCCCCGAGAGTCCTGAGGTAATTGAAGAAAGACCATTGTCCAAAAAAAAATACATATACTGTCTGGTACGCTCTTATATATCAACAAGATTGTGTCACCTGCCACTCAACACTATAAAATATGGTTTTATTGCGTGAGAAATTTCTCAGCCGCGTATTCTGTCGTCTTGACGATGTCAATGGCCCACCGAGATGTTGGGATTCGCACCGTCGGACATTTCTTTATTGGGCTACGCGAGAGACCGTGTTTATGCGGATAAACCTATTACTCTTGAGCTGAGAAATCACTCAATATATGTATGTCAAAAAGTGGTCGACAATTACTTGGAACGGTTCGAAGTTTGCAAAAATTACCGATATAATTTCAAGGGTCATACTTTCGAATAAGAGAGAAGTTTAATGAAAATATTTTCTTAATTGCTTTTAAATTTCGAAACTTAATAATTTATAATTTTCACTTTTTTATGATTTCTACAGTTTGCTTAGACCGGTATTCGAATGGTGGTAATGGTATTCGTAGGTCAGGCAATAATCGCATAAGCGCTGTTTACGCAAATAAAGAAGAGGAAAAGGAGTTTATTTTCATATTCTCAAGCAATAAAAATGACGTTTCCACGTCTAACGTACAATTCGCTGACGATACGCCTAGGAATTTGACGTATCATATTGCCCAAACTCAGGAAATATGCGCATGAAATACAAATTCAGTTTAAAAATTAATGTAAACTTTATTTAAAACCCTCAATTTATGCTCATTATGGCTGTCCTTATAACTGATAATTTTCAAAATGGCTTTTAATGTCATAAAGATATTACTATAATGAGAACTCACATCAGATTACCATAAGTTCTGGTCCTCTCATCACACATACATACTTACAAACTTGTATTCATGCGGATGTATGTATTTACAGTACAAAAAGAACAATCAAAATGTTATTTAATTAAATCATTTACACATGTTGTTAAATAATATCGTAAAATTGGTTAACCACTCAATAATAATGAGTATGCAAGTGCGGTTAATGATGGTATCGGGTCAAAGGGCGAAGTAAATATTTTTCACCATGCACTACCATGCGCAACGATTTGCAAACGAGTACAAGCCTGTTGACATAGGAACATTGACATTGTAATGCACACATAAGTCTTATACGACATACTAGTATTGAACATAGAAGAATTTATGTGAACGTGGTGGGCCACAAATTTGTTTAGCCGCCCTGTAGGAATGGTTATGCATGTGTTGGCAACTGAATTAAAAACATTTTTTTTTATCGGAGATTTTGATTTTTAAGAACTTGTGGGTATTTATGTGTTGGTCAAAAATTAACATTACGCTCCCTAAGAATTGTTGTAAGTCAAATATTTATGTGCAAGTAATAAAAATTCATCGTTCGTTTCGCACTGGAACAGGTAAGGTAATGGGAAGGACATATTCCGCCATCGGATCATCACTTTTGCTGAATATTTGCACTGCTGGGTTCAATTTGTCTTATGTAATTATGTAATGTAAAAACCAGTGTAAATATTGATTATCTTTTCCAAGTGACCCTTTCGTGTAGTTAGTTTTTTTTTGCTAAATGAAACAGTGTAGAGCTTACTTCAATAATTTTATAATAAATATGCACTACTGTATGTGTATAAGTCGTATATGAATGTATTTACGTAAATGTATGCGCTCAATATGTGTTACTGGATAAATGTTAATAATTTTAACATGACTATATCAGTTTACACAATTTATGAACTGCAACAGTGTTAACAATAATAATAACAAATATTATTTATCACTGTAAACTGCCAACTGGACAATAACACATATTACATACAAAGTGGCTTCCAAAAAAAACTATATGCATAGTTTAAGTAATGAGTTCTTTAGTATACATACAGGTACTGCTAATTGTTAAAAAATTACAAAAGTATACTATAAAGTAAAATACAATTCAATAATATAAAATAAAATAAAATAAAATAAAATAAAATAAATTTAAAAAAAATAAAGAAAAATAAAATAAAATAATATAAAATAAAATAAAATAAACTAAAATAAAATAAAATAAAATAAAATAAAATAAAATAAAATAAAATAAAATAAAATAAAATAAAATAAAATAAAATAAAATAAAATAAAATAAAAAAATAAAATAAAATAAACAAAAGTAATTTAAAAAAATGAAAAAAATAAAGGCAAATTAAATAAAATAGAATATAATAATAAAATAAAATGAAGGAATATAAAGTCAAAGTATTGAAATTATATTATAAATTTATATTTCTTCTTCGCTATTCGCATAGACATCGCTTTATTTATACTTATATGAAATAAATAAAATAAAAATTTAGTCGTTAAAACAGGTTATGGTTCCTATCTATGTAATGGATGATGGTAACATCTGAACAGTTAGCCCGTTGTTGACATAGTTCAGCGAAGTAAAAGATAGCGGCTTTGATCGCGTACTCTTTAATTGAGTTAAATGACCAGCTTGTTGCTTAAGTTTTCGAAATATTATTATAGTTCTGTTGTTACTTTATTTTATTATTTTTGTTTGTTTTTTTTTATAGTATTTTAGCAACAAAAATAATTAAAAAAAAAATCAACAGTTTATTTTCATTTTAAGCCTTCTTGAATTTAACCCCAAACTATGTGGGAGTCAAGTAAATGCATGGACTATTTATATAAATCCAAATCTCTCAACAAATAAACTGATAAATACATATACAGATACATATTTAAATAAATGAAACGAAGCGTATTAGAAATTTTACCGTTGAATGGCTATGCTAAAAATTAATCAGCCTCGCGGTAATAAAATGGCACACACATTTATATCAAACATCATTATGTTAATTAATATTACTAAATGGCAGTTTAAATAAATTTGCCAGCCATGAGCTAAAGACCAAGCGGAGCTGACATAGTGACATAGAGTTGTGAGAGAAAACTTTTCAAAATAATTTTAAATACGCACACGCTTAGCAGATTTGAGATATATAATAAAATAATTAAAAATATGTACTAAAAAAAGGTACTTACATTTTATAATATATGTATGTCAAATAGCTGTTGATCGCTTATGTGTCGCTGTTAATGAGCCATACTAAGCTGCTGCCTTTGCACTTGCCAGCTATTGCCAGTCAAACGGATGCTGCTACTTGAATAAAAAAAGTGGCTATGGATGACAACAAAGGCACTGAGCCGGTCAATCAATCAAACCTGACAATGAACGCCTCTTTTATGGTCGGCTCGTTTTTTACGTTTTTGCTCATCCGCTTGTTGTTGTTATTTTGTAGTTTTTTTTCTTATTTTTGTAAGATTTTTTTTTTTTGCATTTCGCCAGGCATTGGGCGTACATTTGTCGCCTCTCAATACGCACTCAGTTTTCATTTT